ATATATATAATCATATATATCATAAGTAAGATTTATCATCTAGTGTTCTTATAGATATACATATATATATAATCTGGTGTTCATATATATATATATATATATATATATATATATATATATATATATATATATATATATAAAGATTATAACGGGGATATATTCGAATATCTCCTTTTATCCCTCCGTTGCAAAGGTAGCAACGGACTGAGGAGATTAAGACACCAATTAAAGTGTACGAATTGAGCGAGATTTCCCGAGTATCACTTGGAGGTAATTTTTCACCTTCACATTTGTAATCGTTTATATGACATAGAAAACTATGCTTATGTCAAATTTCATATAAAATTTTATTTGGAATTGCGTATAAAATAATGTCTGCCAAGGCAGAAATTCTTCATTAATACATATTTGATGAAAGGTATTTAAAAATATGACGTAACTTTCATTATTTGTGTTTATAGCTCAAAGTTTAATCCATATATAGGAATCGACCATAGTTGGGACCATCGAGTAATTGCAAACAATCCTTTTCTTAGCTGCAAAGTATGTGCTACACTAAGGCTACATACAGTTTTGAATTCAGGGTTTTTCATCACCTAGACCGTTTGCCACCTAAAACTATAGAACTATCATCCTGCGGCCTCAGCTGAGATTGAACTCATTACACCTCTCCAGTATTCCCTATCCGTCATAGCTCCTAAAAGATCTTCCTTAGGGATCAATGTGTCTCATTTTATCCTATCTGGAAAGGTTAACTTGCGTGATCGATTGTCAGATGACGGGTGCCTCCAGAGTACAAATGATGACACAAGTTCATCTGTGGCACGTGCACAATGCCCGGCGAACTGGACACGTCTTTATCTATAGCTAGGGAGAGAAAAATTCGATTCATACCTTAACCCAAGGGTATTTCCACATTAGTAAATATAACAAACCCAACTGGACTTCAATGATGACAACAACAAAGATAAGTACAATTGTCACAAGCGTTAGTCACCCAGCCACATAAATACAAACATTAGGACACTGTAATACATGCATTTTCTGGATAAGTGAGCCTGACAGCACAACTCTCTCAGACTGGTTTTAATTCAGAGTTTCCTTTTCCTAGTTTGGTTGCCACCCAAGGCTATAGGTTTCAGTCTGTTCTATTATTTTACTCATTGTTGGGTGGAAGAAACATGTATACATATATTTCCCAAGGTTATTAGCACATAAGTGAATGTAATAACTGGAATTTGAACTCGGATTTTTGGTTCCTCCATTTCTCAATATACTAATGTCCAATTCACTAAATATTGTTAAGAACTAATAACAAGATTTATGGTTTGTAGCAAATATGTGCTACAAGTTATAGTGGACTATAAACTAACACCCGCTGACCGGGTGATTGAAGGCTTTGAGGAATGTGAAATCACCTCTTAAAGCAAAATGGCCAACAATACATTTTATCTGTAGTTGGAGCCATAAAGAGGAAGCATGGTGGAGTAATGGATAGTGGCTTGGATTGAGGAATCAGTGAGCCGAGTTCAAATTCCAGATGAACCCATTACATTCACTTACCTGCTAATACCCTTGTGAAAGGTATAAATCCTCTTCTTCTCCCTCCAGTCACAAGCGGCATCACCCAGCCGTATAAATACAAATTTTAGGACACTGTGATCTATCTATGGATAAGTTAGCCTGACAGGCCAACTCTCTGAGGATGGTTTTAATTCAGAGTTTCCTTTTCCTAGACTGGTTGCCACCTAAGGCTATAGGACCCAATCTGTCCTGCTATTTTACCCATTGCTCGGGGGAAAGAAAAGTTGGGTCCTTACCTTTCTCATAAGTAAATGTGATGAAATCCACTGGAAATAGTCTAAATAACGACACTGTGAATAATTATAACCAAGCAATTTCGGCTATTTCTTAACTCATTTCAGCTACTTCCTATATCCCTGCCGGCTGGGGCTTGAAAATACGCCGACTGCACCTTTGCAGGGGGTAAGACTTTCCCCAACCCCGCAAAAAATGAGGCGTCCTTGGTAAGATGTTAAACTACATCCGCGTCCAGGGTAAGACAATAAACTACGTCCAGCATCAAGGCCTCTGATCAGGAGGTTTTGAGGAGCGTGGAACCATCTCTTAATTTCTGGTGTTCCCAGGTCCACCCTGACCCGGGGTGGTAGCACCTGTTAGGGTCCCAACTATGGACAAATAGTTAACCCCCAAACTGGGGTCATCAAAACACTATGAAAGTGTAAAAATAGGTTTTAATGCCAGCAATAAATATTTGAAGAAAATTTTTTTACCACCAATACATTTTTGAAGTAAAAAAGTTTTTTTTTTTTACCAGCAATACATTTTTGAAGTAAAAATCGTTTTTTTACCAGCAATACATTTTTGAAGAAAAACATTTTTTTTTTTACCAGCAATACATTTTTGAAGAAAAAAGTTGTTTTTTTTACCAGCAATACATTTTTGAAGTAAAAAAGTTTTTTTTTTACCAGCAATACATTTTTGAAGAAAAAAGTGTTTTTTTTTTACCAGCAATATATTTTTCAAGAAAAAAGTTTGTTTTTTTTTAACCAGCAATACATTCTTTAAGAAAAATGTTTTTTTTTTTTACCAGCAATACATTTTTGAAGAAAAAAGTTGTTTTTTTTTACGAGCAATACATTTTTGAAGTAAAAAAGTTTTTTTTTACCAGCCAAACATTTTTTAAGGAAAAAATATTACCAGCAATAAAAATCTTATCGGTATGAAATAACCCATTGAGGTTGATTTGCCGGAAACCAAACCAAACGAAACGAAACGAAACCAAACAATTTCCTATCCTTTTAGTTATATTTATTTCCTAACTATCCTTCCAAGTCCTTTTCTTTGTTTTCTTAATACTTTGTTTAGATTTCGAAAAGACAACTTTCGCTGTTTCAACCCACTTCGAATTTCCGTTATACATTTTCCATCATTTATTAAGGCGCTTCCCAGATAGTTCAATTTATCAATTATCACTTGGGTGCTTGCATAGACAACTGTCTCTCTCTTGCTAACGACCATATAGTCTTTTTTTTTAAATAATTGATAGTTATTCCTTTCATCCCTCTTTACTTTATTACCTTGTCAAGGTGTTCCTGCTGTTTAACTTCTGTGTCTGCCATAAATATATCTACAAATCTACCATTCGTCCATACCTGGAATACTGGTGCCATGTATGGTCTGTTACCCCAGCTCTTCGTCAAAATCCAAAGACCGATATGCAATGTGATTGGTCCTGATTTTGAGTCTCGACGCCAGTCACTTTCTCACAGACGTAATGTGTCTTCCCCCTGTCTTCAGAAATATTTTCATGGCATCTGTTCTAACGAGCTATTTTCACTGCTTCCCCGACTGCATGAATTTACATAGGTTGACATCTCGGTCCCACCCTTTTACTGTTAAAACAGTTAAATGTAACCGCCTCTTCTACCCCAACAGCTTCTACTCTTGCACTTCCCAACAGTGGAACACCCTTCCTCTTACTTACTTCTCTGATAACTATAATCTTAAAAAATTTAAATGATATATTTTGTTGCCTTGATTCCTGTTCTTTTTATCCTACTCCATTCTTTTTTTTTATCCTTTCATCAACCCCTATACCAAGTCTTTTCACTTACTTAGACTCACTGTAGCCTCTTGGGAACTAGTGGCACCCCGGCTTCCTTAGGTTAAATTGCTTAAATAAAATCTCTATATCTTATGTCAAGGCTTGGTTTGGTTTGTTTTACGGCATATCACCGTTATTTAATGCTGGCAAAAATTTCTATTGCTGGTAATATTTTTTTTTCAAAATATATATTTCTATGAATATTTTTTCTTCAAAAATGTATTTCTGGTAATATTTTTCCTTTAAAAATGTATAGCTGGTAATATTTTTTCAAAAAATATATAGCCGGTAATATTTTTTTTCAAAAAAAGTATAGTTGCTTGTATTGATGGTATTTTTTTTTTTTAATTATTGATGATGATAATTTTCATTCAAAAAATTATTGCTGGTAATATTTTTTTTACAAAGTATTTCTGGTATTAAAACCTATTTTTACACTTTGATAGTATTTTGATCCAAGTTTGGGTGTTAACTATTTGCCCATAGCTGGGACCCTAACAGGTGCTACCACACCAGGTCAAGGTGGGCTAGGGTACACCAGCAATTAAGAGGTGGTTCCACGCTCCTCAAAACCTACCGACCAAAGGCCTTGCTTCTGGATGTAGTTTATCGTCTTACCCAGGACGCGGATGTAGTTTATCGTCTTACCCAGGACGGTCTCATGTTAAGAGTGTACCCACTAATAATTGCTTTTCAAAATTGGATTTTTAAATTTCAGCATTTTCTCCAAGAGAATACTTTTGTTTTTGCGCTGTCTCGTCTGTTATACTATCGTAAAGTATGGAAACGATAAAGTCAAGGCTGCAAACACAGACTTCAAAGAATCACGTGAGAGTTTCCATTGTGAAGATAGTTAATGCCTTTAGTGATTGGCATGACACAGACCAAAGCCATGCGTTTTATTTTCTCATTTTTTGTAATATGTTTTAAATGTATTTTCTGTTCATTCACAAACAAGGATCGTCTTTAGTGTATAAGAAGCAGAAAGAAAAAGGAAGAATGGCTGCTGTGTTGACCAATTGGTAGGTGCGGCTTTATTCTATCACTGATACACCCTGCTGTAGCGGTTGCGATAACCTTTCTTAGCCCCTGGGTGACAGATGTACGGAGACCACGCCCTAAAATTGCGAATTCTTAGGAAACAAAGAATTAAACTTATGAAAGGTGAGACAACAAGAGTGACTTGCAACGAAAATTGTGAGAACTGACTTCCTTTTTTGGATTGCTTCTTTAAAATTTTCTTTTTCTGTTTTTTTTTCCATTTTCTGATTTCCTTTTCTTTCTTTTTTTCTTTTTTATTTCTTTCTGTTTCTTTTTTTTTACCGCTTGCTGTTTCTTGCATTCTTTCTACTTTTTATCGTTTTTCTATGAAATGTTTTTTTCTTTCTTTCTTTTTTCTGTTTGTTTCCACTTTCTTTCTTTCTTTCTTTCTTTCTTTCTTTCTTTCTTTCTGTTTTCCCCTTTCTTTCTTTCTTTCTTTCTTTTTGTTTCCCCTTTCTTTCTTTCTTTCCTGAGAACAACAGCAATTGGTTCAATCTCTTGAGCAGTGGCCATGCTGCCGGATGTGGTTTATCGTCATACCCAGGACTAGAATTAGCACTTATAGCACTCACGTCTACTAACGCAGTAATAAAATAATAATCTAGGATATAACAACGCATTTCTGTGACATATGTTAATTTTTTCATCTTAATAATGAGAGCACTACGCTGTTTCGTAATAACAGTATATATCATTGGGGCAGATCTTTTCACAGGATGCTGTCTTTATTGTTGATAATCGTCGCGATAGTGGAACGAATAAACCCAAGCAACCGGCCAATGTTTTTCGCTGTTTTTCCCGTTTTAGAACGCTTTTAACAACGTCTAATTTAATGGTGATGGTTCTCATTTATCACACACACACACACACACACACACACAAACACACACACACACACACAAATATATATATAAATGAATGAAATAAATGATAAACGGCATCAGAATAGGTTACGCTACGTTAGGGGGCCATAATTAAGGGCAGTAATTTTCCACAAACACAACACAAACAAAAGAGAGCGAATGCACAACAATCTAATATGACGTAAAACGAGGAACTAACTCACATCATCTTCCTCAATCCAGCGCCATATGACGACGTATTCTTCTGCAGCGCAGATTATTCTTCCTCTGCACCGTTTGCGACTTATGTACGAGACAAACGGCATAAGACAAAACAAGATTAATGAAGATTGCACCGTAACCACAGATCGGCGTAGTTCGGGACTGCCAGATTGTAATAGCTAAAATGATGTAATAGTTATCTATCTATCTATCTATCTATCTATCTATCTATCTATCTATCTATCTATCCTAGCCTGCTGCATGCATTTCGAATTTTGTCCATTCTTAGGTCCCACCAGTTCAGCCTTTTACAGTCAGGACACTTCTCATTTTCTCTGAGTTCTTAACGTAAGGAGAAGCTTCCACTCATACACCCGCGTGGATGCTTCCCTGAACACTCAGTTGTAGTATGACTCCGAAAGAGACGTATCACACCAGACCAAAGAAGCCGGGTGTACCAGGAGAGTAACCTGGTGTCACTTCCGGTTACCAAATGGGAAAAGACGTTACCTCACATCTACATCCGCTTTGCAGGTGTAGGAAACATGTATATGAGATACATCGTTACATAACAAAAACGCACACACACACGCACACTCACTCAACCACCCACCCACCCCCATATATATATATATATATATATATATATATATGAATCCAAACCAGTCAGGTTTTGACCCCTGCTTGATGCAATCGGATGTCTAGCCAGACTGATGAGCTGTGATACAGTCTGCCTGTGGATGTCAATATATATATATATATATATATATATATATATATATATATATATATATATTTATATATATATATAAGCGAAAGCAAGATCTAATAGGTCAGCCAATCTAACAGTGATCTCATTCCACAATCCTCACACTTGCTCCATATGTGGCCTCCTTTGTAAATCACTAGCGGGTCTTCAATGCCACTTAAGTTTATTGCACAAACTTTCATAACTGAATCAATAAGCTGTCAGATTCTCATATGTCGAAACCGACGGGAAATTCCATTGTATATGTATATATATTTATATATATATATATGTATATATATATGTATATATATATATATGTATATATATATATATATATATATATATATATATATATTGAGGAGTCTCTGACGAAATACTGGAGCAAATAAATCTTAAGTAATGGCGATTCAAGTTTCGTATTATCATTTACCAGTAAGTCTCTACATTGAGTGGCTTTTGAGCCTTGTGTTAGTTACATTTTTAGTATATAAAACGTGCAATATTATTTACTACAATGGTATAGGATGTACCAAATGCTAAAATAATAGGGACAAACGGCATGAAATTAAAATTTAGACGGAACTAGTGAATTCTACATCACATTACCCAGAAGATAAATACACTCTTTAGAAAACATATCTGTGAAGAAGAAAACAATGACTATAACCCTATAAAGACGAAAAAGACAGCGGAGTTGTCATCATAAGCACTCTGACCAATGTATTGAAGAAATATTTTTCCTAAAAAAATATATATATATATATATATAAAATTAACGAACGTAGAATTAAATTTAGATGCAAAGAAAATTAACAACTTGGTTTGAAAATTACTGAAAAATGAAAATAAAACATTGAAAAAGCTAATTGAATATTGTTGTGTCGGAAACCTGCCACCCCTCTTGAAGATGAACTTGTCTGCGTCTGTGGACAAAGATTTAAATAGTGGCATGTCAGTTGACATGGGAAACATAGATAGACAGAGAAGTTCTTAGCTGAGGAAGTTATTGACTACTCAGGCGATTTCTGTACCTTTTTACCAACCTATTAAAACCCTTTTTATTGTTACGTGTTATTTGGCGTTTGTCTCTACTAACCCCAAATCAACATCATAACAAATATTATATAATATATTCGACTAACACTGGGTAGGTGAATAACGAAATTCAAAATAACAACAGCAAAGTTATGTATTTAGTACCGAGACGAAAATTTTCTCAGGCTAATAACATTTTTCGTTGATAGAAACAACCTTTATATATGGAAAGTGGGGAAAAAGTTTACGAATAAATACAATAAACCCCGGTTACAGTTTTCATCGTAACATTAAAGATACAGCCAGGTTCAGCTTTAAATGTTGACACTCGTTGTATCTTTATGTTTAACTTAACTTTTCTGATTCACATTTTTTCTATTTTATTTTTATTTCTATCATTAATGTAGTCCAAAAGATATACGAAAATAGAAACGGGTGTAAGACAAGAATTTGTTTTCCCATTGCATTTATTCAACTTAAAAAGCGAGGCAATTCTAAGAAAAAAACCTACCAGGATTCATTATTGGCGGCCACAATCTTAACAATATAAGATAGCCAGATGACACAGTGCTGATAGCAGACACAGAAAGGAAACTATAAAATCTCCTACAGATGGTAGCGAAGGAAAGCAAGAAGAAAGGACTAAGCATAAACTACAAGAATACAGATTGCGTGGTTATCAGCAAAAGGGTGGACCTAAAATATAAATGACAGGTCGGGGATACTAAAATCAAGCGGCTACAGAAATTTAAATATCTTTGAAGTGTTCTCACAAAGGACAGAAAATGCGACAAAAATCAAAATTATTGGGATAGCCAAAGTTGCATTCCAAAAGCTAAGCAGAGTATTAAGAGACAGGAAAATTTTGTTAGAAACAAAGAAAGAGTACTGAACTGCTACATGATAGCTTTCCTCCTGTATGGCAGCGAATGCTGTACAATCTCCTCAAAGATGAAAAAGAGACTTGAAGCAGCATAAATGTGATTCTACAGAAACATGCTGAGGATACCATGGACCAAACATGTGAGCAACAACGAGGTTTTGGGATTAAATCATTTAAATTCTTAGATATTTCATCTATAGGGTGCGATAGATAAATTGTCATCTAAATTACGTTAAAATGAAGATAACACTGATATCTCACTTTAACAGATATGGTTACCAAAATTACACAAAAATATCTTCAACCTCGGCCTCTAGACGACTTCGGCATCTCCTGTAACTCTTCTGGGCGGTTTCCTTGTTTTCGTTGGTTAATGCTGCCATAATCCTTGACTTCAGTTCATATTTGTTATTAAAAGGAGTTTTGTTGGTTCCTCGATCAACTGCGCCCCCTCCCACACATAATAATTAAGGGGTTTGTAAACTGGGGAGCTGGTGGCCAAATGTAAGGGGTGATGAGACCGCAGAAATTGTCTGACAATCCTGACTGGATTCTCTTGCTTGTATGGCATGGTGCAGAGTCCTCTTACCAGACATAGGGTCTTCCAGCAGCCACCATCTTGACCCAGAGCAGCACTATCTCATCAAGGCACTTGATGTAGGCCTCCGTATTGTATCTTATGCTCTATGGGAAGATGAATGGTGGCATAACATCATCATCACTGGTGATCACTCCAAATTTGGTAATCACCATTAGGCTCATCTAACTCTTTCTGAATTCTCTGCACTATCCTCAGATCGACACCCAAACCCTCTGAAATGTTTGTATTGAAGCTTCCGGTGTGAATGCCAAGCAGTAGAGCATACCGTTTCTAAATTTCTAGTAAAGTGAATTGCGTCATGGTACCTAACTTACACTTATACTGTGCAGTCGACAAAAAACAACCCCCCAAAAACAACCCCCCAAACAAAACAAAAACAATAGCGACAGTTTACCCATCGCACTCTATATTTATTTCTTATGACAATTTGCAATCTATTTCGCAAATTCCTGTTTCATGTTTTTTATTGTTTTGTGCGTATTAGATGTCTTATTGTTTTTGAATCAATTGTGATAAATTCTTTTCGATTGGAATTGTTAATGATTTGCTTGATAGCATTATGTCTCTAGCATTGCCAATGTTATTAGTTTTATTATTTTTTAACTTTTGAGAACTTTGTAAGCTTTGCGCTTTGCAATATACATGAAATAATTAGAATATTAGAAGCGTTTAAAAGTAGTTTCACTTGATTTTTTCAGCATGTAAATATTGATGGCTACAATTTCTAAGTGTTTCTTCTAGGCGCTGTGTCCCTTCAAGACGTTGGCGAGCATGGTTCTCCACATTGTTCTCTCCTTTGTACGTATTAGTATACGCTGACTACTATTTCTTCGAAAATCTTTTCTGCTATCTAATTACACAAGACTTTAGTTAAGTTATACAGTTTACCTTTCTTCCTTTGTTCATCTTATGTCCTGGGAATATCAAACTTTACAAGCTTTCTTTCCTCATTATATGCCTCTTAAAATTTGAACTATTTCTTTCTGATGTTTCTTTTTAAGCGTTTCACCCCAAGCAAGGCGGGAAGCCACTAGGACGCAAGGGGTTACAGAAAATTTGGAGCAACATCAGATAAGAGTGATTGAAGAAAGGATGAGGAGAAGGATAGTGGATAGATCAAGGCAACTGGAGATGTCGATTGACATTACATTTGAATAGCTGGAGATTATAGCTCTCAGGGAAACTGGAATAGGAAAGGGAGTTCCACAGGCGAGAGGTGCGAGACATTTAGCTATTAGAGTAGAAGAGACGGCTACATTTAGGAGTTTCGACAGTGAAGGGGTGAGAGCGGGATGCCAGCCTCGTAGGGCACTTGAACTCATGAAGTCTGGGAACCAGCGAATGCAGCTCCTCGAAGCAATTGTCATGAAAGTATTTGTAAAACAGACAGAGAGAGGCGACGGCGCGTCTGTGAGAGAGCGACTGTAGACGAGATGCTAGAACAGGGTCAATTATATTGCATATCTGCCTCTGGAGCCTATCAAGAACCCCGAGGCAAACAGAAGGGGCTCCAGGCCATATATGGCAGCAATAGTCCATGCAAGGGCGAATTGTTGATTTGTAGATCTGGAGGATCGATTCCGAGGAGAAAAATTTCCTGGCGAGACACAGGGAGCCAATTTTCCTTGCGGTGGACGAAGCAATTGATGTTATAACAAATGTTATAACAGTCTTTAGTATAACTGTCCTTGTAACTTGGTAGTATTCTCAGTATCCTTCTGTAGAACTTCTATTGCTTGAGGTCTTCTTCTCTGTGAAGAGATAATACTGTTTTTATTCTGGATTTTATTTTTCTACTGTGGTTTGAGTAAAGATTTAAGAGATTATTTTTTTGTTAATGGGTTTTCAGTAGGCTTTTAATGTTATTTTATTATTCTTTGACATTTTATATAAAAGATTGATTCCTTTAATAGAACGGTTATTAGCTATTAACTAAAAATTTTTTTTTTTTGTTCATTTGAACATTCAAATATCCATTTATATCTATGTATATATTTTTAAGTTTTTACAATATTTTTCTTTTACTTGAAAATAAATAAAAGTAACATATACCGGAAAATATATGCAAGGAACCAAACTAATTGCCCGAGTGAGCCATCATTCGATCTTTAATCAAAGTTTTCATCACTAAATGGTTAATATTTTGTCAATAGCTTGCTTATTAATAATCAATTTTGTCAGAAATCGATCATCAGCGAAGCAAGATGTTCAGCACGCTTTAACTTATTTTTTCCGCAACAGGTGTAGACATGTTTGCCTATCGTCTGCTTCACACTATTCCCTGTTATTTTGAACAGGAGTAGAGATTTATTCCTTGTTTCCTGTTTAATATTCGATTTCCGGTTCCCTTTAAAATCCTCATCTTGTCTTTACACTATAAGTAAAGTAGTCCTTTGCGCCTTAGTGGCGTTATCGCCTTGCATAGTGTTAATTGCTTTAAAAAAATGCGCATGTAATTGTGTGTTTGAGTGTACGTGCGTGTGTATGTGTGGGGTGTGGCGGCCTAATAAGGTTATCAATATTAGAATTTATTTTTAGTCTCATGATGAAAGCACGATATTGTGTTGTCCAGCAGAGACTTATGGCACGCAAAAAAAGCGAGCACCAGGGCGGAAAACAAAATTCAGTTTGCGTGGGCGGTATTCAGTTCACCTCCAATCGTCAACAAATAAATAAATAATATAAAATAAAAAAAAAAAATAAAAGGACTATTCATGAATATAAGTGTGATGTTATACATGGCAATTTCTTTTTTTTTTTTTTTAATCAACCGGGACAGATTTTTCAGAAAGCTAAAGTCAAGTTATAAAGAGGGTAAAATTTATTTTTAGAGTGACAGTACGGGCGAACGAACAAATACACACACACATACACAAACGCGCATGCGCACACACGCAAACATGCAGGGACGAACTGACACACACCCACACGCTAACAGGCACATTGTTTTATTGCTTTTTAAGATGGTCGACATTTTTATTTATTTTTGCTTATATTGCTTTAGTTTTTCGCTTCCTTACTTTCTTTTTGAGTGGTCTTATGTTTATTTCGTTTTTATTTATACTATCATTTCTTTGCCACGATATCTATCTATCTATCTATCTATCTATCTATCTATCTATCTATCTCATTCTGCTCATATCTATTTGTTTGTGTCTTCTCGTATCTATCTATCTATCTATCTATCTATCTATCTATCTATCTATCTATCTCAGTCTGTTCATATCTATCTATCTATCTATCTATCTATCTATTTCAGTCCGTTCATATCTATCTATCTATCTATCTATCTATCTATCTATCTATCTATCTAAGTTCTTTAATATGTATGTATGTATGTATCTATCTATCTTAGTTCTTTAATATGTATGTATGTATGTATGTATGTATGAATCTATCTTAGCCTGTTCATATCTATGTATGTATGTATCTATCTACCTTAGTTCTTTATTATGTATGTATGTATGTATGAATCTATCTATCTCAGTCTGTTCATATCTATCTATCTATCTATCTATCTATCTATCTCTCTATCTATCTATCTATCTATCTATCTTACTCTGTTCATATCTATCTACTTCTGTTTCTCTTTTTCTCTTTGTTCTTCTCGTTGCTATTTTTTGTTTCTTTCTCTCATATTTTCACAAATATCTGA